TGCTTAAACAACACAACTACAACACCTCCACAGTAATTTATACAGTTGTTCTTGAAGATTAGGTCTACAGTGTTTACTGTACAATTTTTAAATATCCATGTACAAGTGTACAGTGTATATGTAAATCCTTACACATGCACTACCTTAATTTTCCTTTAAAATGTTGATGGCCTTCTGTATTGTTTAATGACCGAAAGGAAATATTCACTCAGAAAATAAAAGTGAAATGTTCACTCCTCACAATATTACAAACATGGCATGTGAGTACCTCAAGTCTTTATCCCTAGTATTTATGCCTCATCAAATCATATTAATCTGCAGTATCACTATCAACCCACAGCCACTGCTAATCATACATGAAAACAGTGCTCTTGTAAGTTCCACAAAAGCTTATCAAAATATTCACATGTATTCGTTCATACTGCTTCCCAGGTACCCTCCATAACACAACGAGGCCAACTCAACAAGGAGAGACTCTCACGAGGTATGTCTTCATCAGCTTGAGATTGCCAAACGAACCGCTAATTCTGATTTGGGAAATAAGCCCGAAGTAACAAATCGCATCGTCATCAGCTCAAGACTCGACCTCGAAACTCAAACTCGACCTCAAGAAATACATGTAAGCTCGAGATATCTTGCTCAGCATTTGCGCATATAGTGTGAGTCTTCGGGCTGGTTAAGATGCACCGGACAAATAGAGGGATATTTAGCCAGATAGCGGGACATTTTGTTAACTGGCCCAAGAAATCTTGGGAGGATTATCTCAACCAAATATCCTGCTAATTGCAACTGCGTGCTGATGGAGATGCAAATTAGCTGGATAATTTGCGATCAGGATAAAAATAGCGGATTATTCGACAATCTCAAGCTGATGAAGACTGGCCTACATAGAATTATGAACATACATGTGTGTACAGTGTAGTGCCAAAGTCAACACAGTTCCACCGAGTCCACATTTCTACATTCTAAAACACTCACTGCACTTGAGTGGATAGGCAATTAGCTTGCCATTTATGCCACCCCCAGTTTGTAAAAAAAAATAATGGTAATGAAATAGCATAAATGGGAGTAGAGCGGGATTTACATGTACATCTGGAGAACAATTATTTAAAATATGAAAACTGTCAACAGCAAAATTCCTTTTTTCTACAGAACTTGTCAGAGAGGGAAAACAGAGTCGGATTCTGCGATCAAAAATTCTTTTTTTACAGTTACTGTACCATTGATAAGTGATAACTCTATACTATACAGTGTATGTATTGTCTGTAAAGTATTACAAAATTAGCATTTTCACAAATACGGTATGTTTAAATAGATAAAATATGTCAACACCTATAATGAACACAAGTGAACCTTTTTATCGCTCTTCCATTCTATTATTCTTGTGAGTGAATATACCAATCGAATACTGCCACAAGAAGACCTTGGGATACCACAACATAGAGCACAGACAATTCTGAAAAGGAAACACATACACCGTTGGCCTGAAGTTACCACAAAAGGCAGTTCTTCTAATGGCCTTCATCTACAATAGCACACACTGACACAGACACTATTCTTCTCAACTACTGTACTGTACCTATTTGAATGCACTTCACAGATTTAAACATCAATTAATTGTCAAGTTGGTGCAGTTAAGTTTGAAAAGAGAAAAATCTTCCCAAGGATGCAAAACTTGTTAGTTTTCATATAAATATTGTACTTGAATTGGGTTAATTTTTTTTGTCCAAATCGTATTGACCTTTGCCATGAAGCAGGGCTCTTGATAGTAAGCTGTAGAGGAGATTGATACACCCACTTCATATACATGTAGGTTATATATTCTAGTACAGTATATCAATGTATTTGGCAACATTTATGTCCCATCTGTATTATTTTTTTTTTCTTCAAAATATACTACTTGAGTGGTATAATTTACAAATTATGTGCTATATGTATGTCAAGATGTCTTCTTTCATTATCCGATTCATGTACATGGATGACCCGTTCAGATACAGTAGGGCATTCACTCGGTGTTTAAAAGTTTAAAGTTTGGCTCTAGACGATATATTCTGTCCTTAAATATTTACCGGTACACCATTTCCAGTGGATGGAGACATTTTTTTCTTCTCAGTTTTATGCCAGAAATAGCTCTCCTTTATTATTTTTCGCTCCGATTCGCAAAGATCGTCAGGGACCAGTGGTGGTCTTCAAACCATGCAAAAACCAGCTTGCACTATGACCTAACTCTACTTTACCTCAACCTATAATTTTGTCTACATTTTTACCTGAACTCAGCTTTGAAGAATCAAAATCGAAATAAAGCACTTATTCATATTTAGAGCAAGAAGAACATTGACTCATATTTCACTTATAACAGTTTATCAAAGAGTTTGTATGTTATCCCCCTCTGGCTCTTAACAGACAAAATCATCAATTGATAAAGAAGATTTATTGCAAGAGGTTCATTAATACTACTTACTGTACACTACTTGAAATGGAGCAAAGTATGCAGGGTGCCCCTTGGAAGCTTCTGCCATGAATTTATTTCATGTTAAATCACATAACAAGGAAGTTTAGACAAAGTCATAGCCTTTTTTGATATATAGAACTAGAAAGAATGAAATGTTCAGAGTGCTCAATGGTTTTGATGTACATGTACACTCTAATCCAATATCTTTTAATTTGTGGAGAATGAAATTTGAATGAAAAAAAATGAACATGATGGCTGACTTGTCTCCAGTAATCTGATTACACATTTGATGTGTATCAGGAATAAACCATTTATAAATTATCTGATGTGACTTTTGTTGGAATGTTAATCTATCCTTTTTCATTCTGCATTGAATGCTAGATCTTTATGTCCGATTAGGGAAGAAGGAGGTAAAATGCAGTTCCATGTTTTGCATGTCAGTTTGATCTTGTCATGCATGCATCTAGTGTTTCATGTTCAATGAACTGAAAACCATTGAATGCTAAACATCCTATTGCGACACAGAAAGCATACTTTCTTGGTACAGCAGGTTAACGAAATAGCATGCACTCTACACACAATTTTCACTTCAGAGAACCTATACTGCAGCCTGGGGCATCACCAGACAATTCTCTATGAAGGAAGGGGAAGGTGTATGATTGGATTTGCAAACAAGTTAAAAGAATTTGTTTCCAACCAGCCCCTACCCCCCCCCCTCCACACACACACACACACACAAAGGGGTCCTCTGGTGTTTTTGTTTTTTTTGCAACTTGCCCTCATAATCGATTTCACTACCGGTACTCCCATCTTCTCACACATTATGTTAATGTTAATGTTAAACATGTCATAACAATCTAATTAAATAATTTTTATTTTTGAATTGGTGATGAATAGGGCTCTTGTCGATCAGTGTTTTGTACGTTATCAACATTTGAGTTGAAATGAAAATTGAAACCAGTCAACATAGTTTTCATTTGTCATTAGATGATTTATGTTTCATTTTGATTTGTTTGTGTTCATTCATTCTCAGATGGGGGATGTGGTCAGTATAGTAGGCTATCATCGTTGGAGAAGGTACAGTATATTGAGACACTAGATCTATCATAGAACTTCAATGTAGAAGTCAAATTTATGCCTCATTTGTAATGATCAATACTATTACTGTGAATCTTCTCAGAAATTCTACCACTCATGTACATTGCTGAAGAAGGTAAATTAATTGGTCATGCAAAAAAATTATCAACATGTTGACAGGGAGAATACGTGTAGATAACGGCAACCATGGGTCGTTTCAGTGGGTGCATAAATTACTGTCAAGTAACAGTACTGTATGTACATGTACTCTGTATTTGACTCACAACTGAGAATGTTATTGCGCCATACGTACTCTCATTTTCACAATTAATAACCTTGAGAATCAAATTAGTGAAATTCTGTCTCGAACTGTATAGTGAGAGACTGAGACCAAAAGCTGCATTTTTTTTTTAAATGCAACTTTCAAAGGCTTAAAAGTAGTCAGGCTAGTCAGTCCATTTTGTTTTATCACGGTTCCTATTGTTATGTTAAGTTGCACTGTTTTAGAAATCATCAAAGAGAATGTTGATAAGAACTCATTTTCCTCAGTGTTCATAGACGATGTAAAGTTACATCTAATGTTAGGTCAATAGACCCGAGGCTAGATCTAGAATCTTCAAAACAATGGGCATTAACAATCTCCAAAGTTGCAAAGTTGAGGATGGTTGGTGATGCACATGTATGATCTAGTAATGTAAATATTTAGCCAGATTTAATTTGTTATTCTTGTTGTACTCAGTACAGTCTACACAAATAAGCATACAATGTAGATCTAGTCTCTAGTCTCGATGATAGGTCTAGATCTCCATAAATAAATCAATTAGTAAGATGCAGGCTCTGGCCAGTCATAGCCAAGACTACTCATATTCTCAACAAATTATATAAATATACTTTTGGTGTTTACTCTACATTTTGAACTGACATGCAGCTTTAACTTAGTTAGAAACAAATGAGCGATTTTAATAAACTGTTGTTCAAACTAAGTTTACACAAAGTTTGAGTCCAACACTACAGTTAATTACACTTGCAATACAGTCAGTAACACTAGCATTTGTAGACCAAAAGCTTCAGTCTCTCTAATCGTCGGTTGTTCCACTGAGACTACGTCCGGCTCCATGGGGAATGTCAACAAATGTCAGTTTTATTAAAGAAATGACCCATATCAGACGGTTATTTCTGTCTATAGCATTTGTAGCAACGACAACATCAATAAAAAAAGTGCATCAATTTTACTTGAGTTAGATCTATAAATGAGATTAAGAGGTGTATCTTGTCTACCTCAATTGTTTATAGACCTAAACTACATCATCACAATCAAATTAATCGTATTACAATTCCCACGTCACTTAAGTAAGATTAAGCATTGCATGACTTCTAAATGACTGTGCCAGTCTGGCGATTCATACTCCCCGACGTACTGTACGTGCAACATGAAAATTGGACTGTCAACAATTAGGCAATTAGCGGTTACCTGCAAGGCTTCCTCGGCGAAGTCCCCGGGTGCACCTACCCGGTACTGGTTGCCTCCTCTCCGCATCAGGAACCAAGTTTTGTCCCTGAAATATGAGAAAAATGAGGTGAAAAGCTGACTGAGACCCATCGTCATAACTGGTCAATATGATCCCATGTAACAGAATTATCCTGGATTAACGAATAGTCTTCACAAACACAAGTTAATGGCAGAATTCTCGGTTAATAGTACACAGTCGATCCCGAAAGTCGATCTGAGCTGAGTACGATGTGTGAAGGTTTTCTGCGGTTTCTACGCACGCAAATTCGATTCGAATTTTTACACACATCAACACACGAGCGCGCCAATACTTCACGTTTTAAACGTACGGTACGGGAGGAAATCACTTCTTGCTGAGTGAGAGAGTATCAATGAAAGTATATTAGGTTTGAAAATAAATTCTACAATTAAATAATAAAACGTACAAGCCAACTGGATATCTTACAACGATGCTGCTAATCTAGGTGTAGTAGTTCTACAGTATGCAGTATATTCAGCGAGTTCTCTTAGTTTTGTGTTTGCATATGGGAATCTCTTATTGATTATTCACCTCGGGCAAAGGGGACTTTGGTTCCTACTTGAGTTTTGTAAAACTACAAGTTGTCGAGTTCATAATAGCCTTTACACGTCCTACAATAAAAGAGCTATTGATATCTTTCTCTCACCCTCTCTCTCAACAGGAGTTTTCCCCATGTCTTTTTATTTGGTGGTGATAAGTGCCAGGGAACCCGACAGGGGAGCGTTGCAAATATATTTGGCCTACTCGGACAACTTTGAAGTTGAAATTGAATGGAATTATATTTATTTCTTCTGCGCTTGAACACACAAAACAAATTACATTTCAGCAATATATCTTATAAAAATTATAACAAGTTTTTCAAGTAAATGATGGAATTAAAACAAATTTAACTGATAACACTATACCAAAAATTATTCATTAAGAAAGTTGCAGAAGAAGAAGGGCTAAAGCGATTGCTTCATAGAGTGATAGCCCAAAAGGGGAGGGGGGGAATGATGAATACAAAAATTAAAACAAAAACTGATGACAGTGATGACGTTGATGATGGTGATGATGTTGAGGGTAATGAATGATGGTGAAAATGAAAAATGAAAATATGTTGATGTAAATATGTCTGACACAGAAACGTACTATTTAGGCCTAAGTATAACATTGATTTGTTGATCAGGAGCTATGACTAGGAACTATTTCCTTTCTTTAATATACATGGAAGGCCCACTTGTATAATTATGATATATGTATTTGTTGTTTTTGTTCGCGAGACATGATCTGGAAACTATATTATATACTTGCATACAATTTGTTGGACTAAACGTGACTATTCTAAATGGGGCACGATGGTAAAGTAAACAATGAATGGAGGTAGGCCTACGGTTGACTTTCAACAAAACAAACAAAAAAACAAAAAAATCCGATAGGACAAAAGAAAGAAAAGAAGAAAAAGTGGAAAGAAGAAAAGAAAAAAAGGGACAGAAAGAAAGAAAACAAATCCAAGCCTACTTTTATGGTGGGGATTATTTTTTTATCGGATATTCCATGCCTGCCAACGTGTCTGCACATTATGTTGCTTTATTATATAATTATGTTGTGAAGCAAAATGTTGAAATGAATTCAGAGGGACTGATAATTGTAAGTGGGGCATAGACGGTCAGCAAAGATTACCAAGCGAGGGCTATGCTTGATATTGGGTAGGGACAGTGGCGTATATTGTATAGCTACGGGTGGCACAGGGGCATCCCCAAATCGAATGACGCCGAAAAGAAAAGAAATATTATACAAAGTTAGGGATAATAGGAAAAGCTGAGGAGGAAGGAGTGTAATGTCAACTCCCCTCTCCCCCTCCCCTCTTCTCCCACAAACACCATATCCCTACTGAACAGTGGCCTTGTTACATAATATAGTTCAAACTTAATTTACCGGAAAGTGCCCCCTGAAAGTGGGTTGACCCACACTATACGTCCCTAGGTTGGAGCAAACAACACGTTATTTCGTGCCGGAAAAAGAATGAAAAGTGAAAATGAAAATTATGTAAACACTTCCTGACAGAATGCGACAACGAAAGTCTTTTATTGTAGGTGGTGTACATGAACCGAACTATGCCTATAATGACGTATTAGAACAATAAGACGAAAATCTAACATTGATAACAAAATAATGATAATGTAGAGATTCAAATTGTTTAAAATACAAATTAATAAAATGACATACATGGATTGCTATATAGGAGGGCTGTTTATCAATTACATCCGTCAGAATGTATTGTCATAATAATGTTCTTGCAACATAGAACTGCAAACCACTGTCATGTTTTATTCAATTTTTGTAAAATACCGCGACGTTATTGATTTATATATTGATATTATTCGTCAAAATGAATGTAGGAGCCAATAATATTATTCGAATCACGATATGTTATGCAAGTGGGAAAGAGAGAGAGAGATAAGGCAACGAAAGGGAGAGAGAGGGGGGGGGGTATAGAGGGTTGGAGGGTGGAAGGGAAGGAGGTAGAGAGAGAGAGAGAGAGAGATAGGCAACGAAAGGGAGAGAGAGAGAGGGGGGTAGAGGGTTGGAGGGTGGAAGGGAAGGAGGTAGAGAGAGAGAGAGAGAGAGAGAAAGAGAGATAGGCAACGAAAGGGAGAGAGAGAGGGGGTAGAGGGTTGGAGGGTGGAAGGGAAGGAGGTAGAGAGAGAGAAAAAGAGAGAGAGAGAGAGAGAGAGAGAGAGAGAGAGAGAGTATGAATGACCCGTGAAGATAATAGTCAGCAACATTAGAACAGAGTTACTGTGGACATAATGTTGTTCATTGAATCTCTGGGGATATATATATTTTAAATTGTATTTACATCCCTGTTATCTTCCTTTAAAAAGATTTTTTAGATGATAGAACGATTGCGAATCGACAAAAGATTTATGAATCTCGATTCTACACTGCTTGTGAACCCAACATGGATGGGCGTAGCTTGTAACCCCTCCCTGGCTGGATAAAACGTAATAAAAAGTCCTGCATGGTTGCAGAATAATTATGTCCCACAATATATCTCAGATTGCAGAAAACTATATCTCAGGTATATTAATTTCGTCCTATTTTACATAGGGGGGGGGGGGGAGAGAAAAAATAAAGGAGGGGGATTATATCAAAATTTCCGTCAAGCGATAAAATACAAACAACAACAACAACAACAACAACAACAACAACAACAACAACAGAGGATATTAAGGATGCCAGACTGCGTTTGAAGGGAAAATGGACTGGCTATGCCCCCCCCCCCCCCCCATCGGGGGGAGTATTATTATTATTAGGACATACGGGGGTGTACCGCTCTAATGCGTAACTTTTTTCACACAAAAATCCCGAAACATGGGTCCAACTTTTAACAAAAATACCATTAAAAATGGGTCATTTTTTTTTCCAAAAATGTTTGGGTGTTTGCCATGCCATGCCATGCAAACACATGAAAAACACCTGAGAAAATGCCCCCAAATGACCCCTAATAATGGGTAGGGGTTTCAAGGCGTGAGCGGCACACCCCATCCAAACATAATTATGTTCCTCTTGAATTCATCAGTGTGTAACAAAATTAACAAGCACTGATTATTCATAATGTACCAATATAAGGTTATTCACGGGCGTAGAGCCGAATATTGCACTTTCCTTCTTGCGCAGAGAAATGACGTCATGATAGTCATAAGGGGGAAATCCCAAGATGAACAGTGTCGGCATAACGCCTCCATACCAATCACCGTGGCGTCCAGGCGGCTCGATCGGTCATTTCTATTTTGATATTCACCGAAACTCGAAAAGCGGTCCGGCACTTGGCTTTATCAAGTTTATTGTAGTATTTAGAAAGTGATATTTTAAAAGGAATATTATTACTGTGCGTCATCGGAAACATGAGACAATAACAATATGAGGGAAAGCTGACACTTCGCTTTTGATCAACGAACGGAGGTGGGCGGGGTGTTCTATGCATCATTGCATCATAAACTGGAAACAAAAATACTAGATGATGTTTGAAGGTTTGCATGGTGGTATGAACAATCGCGGAAGAGGTTTTCGGTACACCATGTGTAAAGTCCTAGAAGGACTAAGGAAAGTGGATAGAAATAGAATTGAAATGAAAAGGCGAGAAAGTGGAGGTTGGAAGGAAGAGTATCTTTCGGAAGTGAGTATAGTCCTGAAAAGGACTGTAAACCAGAAAGTTGTAGACAGGATGAGAGGTTTGAGTAGAAAATTGGATTGAGTTAGAGAGTTGAGTAGATGAGAGAAGCTGGCTTGAGTCGGCGAGTAGAGTTGCAGAGCAGGAGCAGGAGAGAGCAGGAGAGTAGACTCGACGTTTCGGACAGGTTGACTGTCCGTCTTCCGTCTTTAGGAGTGAGTGAAAAATACTAGAGTATTTCATTAATCATTTCATCTAAGTCTGTAAAGTTAATTGAATATTGCCCTACTTAAGTATATTCGAAGTCTGGCTCACATAGAAAGATACATATTAAAGGAGATTTCGGAGTCTGTAAAGTTAATTGAATATTGTCCTACTTAAGTACATCCGAAGTCTGGCTCACATAATACATAGATACATATTAAAGGAGATTTCGGATAAAATGATCATGATTAGATTAATAACATAATTATATTCCCGTCAACATGAGACGTTTCTACACAATCGCTAAGACTTTCAAGAAATTAACTCATGCCTGGCAATTAGAAATTATATACGTTATATAACAGCAAAGACAAAGACAAAATAAAGAGTAAGATTAGGCGTTAAGAATTAAAAATGCCTAACTTGACAGGATGGCCTGTAAAAGCTCGCATTTTTAAAAGTTCAATGCGGCCAACTTTTACTTGTCAGATATTTTGATACACTTATAAAATCAATTTTCTTTTCGATTAACATCAATTCAAAACCCGTTTCAGTAGATAGTAATGTTATTTTAACGAAAATGGCCAACAATAAAAACTAAGAAAAGAAACATACACAAATAACAATATATTAAGCAAGAAAACAAAAACTAACAAACCTACAAGCAAACAACCAAGCAAAAGAACAATTTAGAAAAGAAAAATAAAGCAAAACAAAACAAGACGATTAAGAAGGATTTTAACTACAGAGTAAACATTGGGTTCCACTTATAGAGATTCGTTTGTGATATCATCTCCCAGATGTATAATGTACCGGGGAAGCCATTTCTATAATGCGTCATAATAATTATTATTTACCTGTACACTCATTAATTTTGTCCGACCTCATTTTCTAAAATCCATGAAATTATGTATACAAGATGATGTCTTACGTTACACATCCTCTTTAGCATTGGAACGTGATGCCTAATCACCAGTTATTGCTTAAAGGGGATGTACTACACTTTGTTATTAAAGATAATAAATTGCATGGTATGGGGTTATACATTTTGGTTTAAATGAACATAATATTAGAAACATAATTATGCGATCCTACAATATTCAATGATCGTTGTCGCGGTTGAAATCGAGTTTAAAGTGATGAAATTGTG